CGCCGCCAGCCATATGACCACATGCTTCTCTTTGGTTCAAATTCCACCACCAGCACCATCACCACCCACCAAAACAAATTGTAACTACTTGGATGGTTTCTCTTTAACTGGATCTACTACTTCCTCAATACGGTCCTATCATCAGGTTTGTGTTTTGGTTTTTTGCTTCGTTTTGTTTGGTTTGGTCTTTATGAGACAGGGTCACCTGTAGCCCCAGCTGGCCTGGACCTCATTATGTAGACCAGGCTGGCCTTGAACTCACAGAGATCCGCCTGCTTCTGCCCCTGCCCCCCAAGTGCTGGGAATGAAGCTGTGCGCCACCACGCCTGGCATTCTTCAACTTTCTTTTAATCCCACATGGCTGTAGGGCCGGTTTTTCACTCTACACATACTCTCAGTTCTCAAGCAGGGCCTCAGAATACACCCTTATCCAAAACTCAGCGTCATGGACAGTGGCTCAGTGTAATCCTGAGACCACATTTAACACTCTTAGAATTCCTGTAACCATTGACTTTGCAATTTCTCAGTAAGAAGTCTGACATCTACTTGGTAATTCATACAGTGAACACTAGAGGGCTCTCCGCTCACAGACTGGAACCCTATCTAAGAACCACCAAAGATGGGTGGGAGCCTTTAAAACCTGCTGTTATTTATTGAGAAATCTTTAAAGTGCCTAACTCTGTGCTGATCACTTAGCCTATATTGCTTTATCTTACTTAGTTGTCATAACAGTATGAGATGGATATTGTCTTGACTTTATTTATAAGGAGATTGTGGCCTAGAATATGCCTTTAAAGACCACATAGTTAACAGAACGGGGCCTGAATTCTTCTGGTCCATTTGATTTTAGAATCCATACTTTTCTCACATTTTCAGGATACTATCTCTATTGTCTTAAAGAGGAGCAAACTGAAGCTGGGTGTGATGGCACACACCTTTAGGGGTCCCAGCCCTGGGGAGGCAGAGGCAGGAGGATCTCTGTGAGTTCAAGGCCAGCCTGGTCTACGGTCGGCCAGGGCTACATAATGAAATTAAAAAAGAAAAAAGAAAACAAAAATGGAAGAAAGGGTAGGAAGGGCCAGTGATAACTCATGGGCAAAGTGCTTGCTGTGCAAGCCTGGGGACCTGGATTTGATCTCCAGAATCCATGTAAAGGTAGGAGAGAACCAACTCCAAGAGTTGTCCTCTGACCTCCTCATGGGTTGTGGCATATGTGTGTCCAAAGATGACTCAGAAGTCTACAGCCCATATTACTCTTGCAGAAGACACAAGCTGGGCTCCCCCCCACCCACATGGTGGCTCACCATTGCCTGTAACCCCAGTTCCAGGAGTTCTGACACCCTCTTCTGGCCTCCAGAGGCACCTGTACTCACGTGCACATATCCACACAGAAGCATACACACATGCACATAATTAAAAATAAAATAAATCTTTTTTAAATTATTTATTTATTATTTTTATTTTATGTGTATGAGTGTATTGCCTGCATGTATGTGAGTGCACCCATATCGTGCAATGCCGTGGAGGTCAGAAGAGGGCTTTGGATTCCCTTGGAACTGGAGTTAAGGACAGTTCATAGCCACCATGTGGGTGCTGGGAATAGAATCCAGGTCCTCTGCAAGAGCAGTCAGTGCTCTTAACCACTGAGCCATCTCTCCAGCCCATAAAATAAATCTTAAAAGGTACAAAGCTTGACCCAGCTCATAGTGAAAGCTCCCTGGTACTTCTGCCTACCTCTCATGACACATAGAAGACACTGAGCTGCAAGGAACTTGCTTATTTTACTCTTCTTTTTAAAAAAAATTTATTTATTTATTTATTTTATGTGTAGGGTAATGCCTGCATGAATGTAAGTGCACCTGTGTCATGCAATGCTCACGGAGGTTGGAAGAGGATGTTGTGTCTCATCCCTTGAAACTGAGATTGCAGATGGTTATTAGTCACCATGTGGGTGCTGGGATTTGAACCTGGGTCTTCTGCAAGAACAGCCAGTGCTCTTAACTGTTGATCCATCTTTCCAGCCCTATTTTACTCTTTTACTTCTCTCACAAACATTTATTCTTAGAATTGAAGACATAAAGACTATCGTTCTATGTATATGTGTATGTTCACAGTGTGTTTGTGTGTGCAGGACATGGCTGCTCCTCATGTGGAGGTTAGAGGATGACCTGTGGTATCAGTCCTTGCCCTCCACATGATTGTCTCCACCTCCCATCTTGTTATAAGAGCACTGGCATTATAGATGTAGCAGACATGTAGCACATCCAGCTTCACGTGGGTCCAGAGATCTGATATCAGATCCTCAGGCTTGAAGGGCAAGCGCTTTACGCACTAAGCCATCTCCCCAGTCCGCAAGACTATATTTAGTAAGGATCATAGTCTACTATTTAGCTAGTTAGCAGTAAGGGTCCATGTAATATAGTTAACAGTGAGACTTGGTTTGAATACTGATCCAATTACTTACTATCATTGTGATCTTCTGCATGTCCTATGGCATCTCTGGCTTTTCTCTTTCCTCACTTATAAACCAGAAGCAGTAACGTACCTTGCCTTATAGGGTGAACTAGCATGGCAGCTAAAAGTGCATATTCCTCCAGGTGTGGTGATACATGCCTGGAATCCCAGCAGGAGTGAGGTGAAGGTAAGAGGATCATGAGTTCAAAGTCATCCTTAGCTGTATACTGAGTTTGAAGCCAGTCTGGGCTACATGGGACCCAGTCTCAACCCTAACTCTCCTCCCTGCCAAAAACACATTATATTGCATGTACAGTGCAAGTGCCTGTAGCTCCCCCATTACTTAAGAAACTGACTGAGATTGGAGGATCATTTTAGCCCAGAGTTTAAGTCCATCCTGGGCAATTCAACAAGAGTCTTCTAAAATTTAAAAAAAAGGAAGAAAGAAACCTGTGGAGGCAGCAGGGTCAGCCTCAGCTATATAGCAAGTTTGAGGCCAGCCTGGGCTGCACGAGGCCCCATATCAAACCAAGAAGAGCCAGCACTTTAATCCCAGCACTCAGGAGGCAGAACCAAGTAGATCTCTGTGAGATGGAGGCCAGCCTAGTCTACATAGTGAGTTCCAGGCCAGTTGGGACACTACGGGAGACTTTGTCTTAAAAAAACAAAAACAAAATAAAGGCTGGGCTTGGTGGTACATATCTTTAATCCCAGCATTTGGGAGGCAAGGGCAGGCAGAGCTCTTGTGAGTTCAAGGCCAGCCTGGTCTACACCTTTAATCTCAGCACTCAAACAGAATTTCTTTGAGTACCAGGCTAGCATGGGCTACAGTATAAGACCACATCTCAAACAAACAAACAAAAAAAAAACACCAAAAAAAAAACCCTCTAGTGCCAGATTTCCTGGCTTCGTATCTATTTTACACGTCCTAGGTATATGACCTTAGGCACATAAATCTCTCTGAATCTCCCTGCCTGTGTAAGGAAGTAAGTAGTGCCTCAAAAGGACACCAAGAATAAATAACCTAAATAACTAGAAAGTGCTCTGGTAGCTAGTATCATTTATGAGGTTAAATTTGATACATAGTAACTTTTTTTCTTTTTGAGACAGGGTCTTGCTATGTCATAGCCCAGGCTGCTCTGAAATTCATTATGTAGCCCAGGCTGGCCTGGAATTCATGATTCTCCTGCCTCAGTCTCCAAGTGCTTAAATTACAGGTGTGTACCACCATACCCAGCCATAGTAACTTTTCATTTCCAACACTATTCTGGGAAACTTGGAAGAAAAGGACTATGAGTCACTAAGAAGGTTAATTAAGATTCCTGAGCTACCATCAACAGACACTAGAGTTAGAAGTTCAGTGACTCCTTGAACTCAGAGCTGGGAACCTCAGGATCTTTAACTGTGCTTTGGCCTAGTCTGTGCAACTCCTAGAAGAAGTGGGACAACTTAGCAACTTGATTTTCTTCTTCGTTCAAGCTTTCTCTCACCTCCAGACCCTCTAGGGCAATGGTCCTCAATAGGAAGTGATTTTGTCCAGGGGACATTCAGCAATATCTGGAGACAGTTTTGGCTGGAGCCTACTGTTGTCATCTAGAACCTTCTAGATGCCAGGGATGCTACTGAGCATCATACACTGCATAGGACAGTCCTGTACAAAAAGCCATTCTCCTGGTCATAGTGTCAGTGTTTTGAGGTACCGAAGGCCTGCCCTAGGACTAAGGTGGTCTTCTGTGGCAGGGGATGGGAAAAACCAGGTCCTAGGAACCATGAAGACAGCCACTCTGTAACTCACAGAAAGGCAGCCAAGACAGCTTTTCCCTCACCAGTTACCAAGAAAACAGAAACCATATGGGTCTGAAGAGGTGGCTCAGCAGTTAAGAGCACTGGCTGCTCTTGCAGAAGACCCAGGTTCTGGTCTACATAGAGAATTCCAGGCTAGCTAGGACTACAGGGAAACCCTCTCCCAACCCCCGCCCCCAATAATACAATAAAATGAGATTTAATTAAAAAACAAACAACAACAAAACAGCCAACTTCTTTATATATGTCATATTTTCATTAATAAATAGGTTTTCTTCTTTAAACACAGAACATATAACAGATTGAAACACTCCCCCCTCCCCCCAATTCCAAAGACAAGAATCTATAAAACAAATGCCAACTGTACCGCCCTAAGGGCAGGAAAAGTCTGGTGACCCCCCCACCCAGTCCTGCCCCTGAAGCACCACCACCCCCACATTCTGCAAGAGAAGGGGGTCTAGGGCTCCTTCCTTGGACCCTGGGGACTTAAGTGAGAAGCATGTGAATGTATGACATCACCTCTCCATGACACATGGGCTATGCAAAGATGAGGTTTCCTTATTAGCTCTGATAGGCCCCTGCCCTCCTGGGTTCAGTTATGAAGCACCTGGGCTAAGCTCCCAAGCGAGCTGCCTCTGGGCTTTCCCATTCTCCAGTCCTCTATGACTTCTTAAAGGGGAAAAGAAGGGATCAGAGACCCCTCCCATCCCCCGGCCTGCATGGGAACGCTGCGTGGAAGAGGCATGATGCTGAAAGTGAGGGAGGCTCCTGGAGGCCCCCAAGCCCATGAGGCCAGCATGCCCCCAACCCCCCACACCCTTCCTTCCTCTGCAATGGGGGGTACACCGGGGCACCCCCTCTACAGCCTAGGGCCTGGCTTGGGGTGTGATGGTTCTTGCTTAATGTCAGGTCCTCGTGCCAGGCCTGGCTCCTTCTTCAACCCATTCTTGTCTCCTTCTAAGCACTCACTGTGGCCATCTGCAAATCTCATGTCCAGTGTCTTAAACTGTCTCATCCTCCCTCTCCCCATGCCTCTGCACCCCAAGGGAGGAAGTGGGGGGCTGTCTTCCCCCCTCTGACTCCCACTTCACATAATGGAACAGCTTTTGGCCTTTTCCTTCTTGAAGGTAGAAGAGATGAGTTCAGAGCGACTGGGAAGGTGGAGTAGTCTCTTGGAGAGGCTTCGGACAGGGCTCTTCGGGGGCACTGAGCTGGGCTTGTTCAGACACACCATGGATGCCATCCGGAAGATGCTGTGGATACTCTTCTCTGAAGTGAAAGCTGAGCCCTCCAGGTAGATTTCTGCACCCAGCTGCTTGGCTATTGCACAGCCCTATGGGAGGGTTGAGATCATTAATGCAGTGGTCCAACTTGGCTAGGAAACACTGTGGCATTCCAAGTGTCACTCCTCAGGGCTATTCAGGATGGCACCCAGTTGCCAGTCTCCTACGACCGCCCTTTGCCAGTTATTCACACAGGTGAAGTCTGACTGAATGTGAGAATCACCTGGAATCCCACAGAGCAGGATTTCTGGGGACAGGGCATGAGCGTTAGGTTCTTTCAGTGCTGGTGACTGAACCCAGGTCTCTAACCATGCACATTACCACTGAGCTCCACCCCAGCCCTGACACTAGTTTTTGTTTTTGTTTTTACATTTATTTGTTTATTGTGTGTGTGTGTGTCTGTATCTCGGTGTCTCTGTGTCTGTGTGGGCATGAGTGCCACAGTGCATATGTGGCTGACAGGACAACCTGTGGGAGTTCACTCAACCCTTGTGGGTCCCAGAGATTGAACTTAGGTTATCAAACTTGATAGTAAACACCTTTACCTACTAAACCATCTCACCAGTGCACTGACATTCGTGTTTGTTTGTTTGTTTTTATTTTTGTTTTGTTTTATCTTCTATTTTGACATTTGTATTTTTTAAGAGCTCTCCCAAGTGACTTTAAGGAGAAACCATGGCTTAACAGACACAATTCTTTATTTTATTTTATTTTATGTGTGTATTGCCTGCATGTAGGTAAGTACACCCATGTCATGCAATGCCCTTGAAGGTCAGAAGAGGCTGTCGGATCCCCTGGGACTGGAGTTGCGAACAGTTGTTAGCTGCCATGTGGGTGCTGAGATTCAAACCCAGGTCTTCTGCAAGAACAACCAGTGCTCTTAACCACTGAGTCATCTCTCCAATCCCCAGACATGATTCTTATACTTCTGTGTGCATAAAAAATTATCCTTGGGGCTAGTAAGATGGCTCAGCGAGCAAAGGCTTTTCCTCCAAGGCTGACAACCTGAGTTTAATCCCCAGAACCCACATAGTAGAAAGAAAGAACCAACTCCCATAAGTTGTCCTCTGACATCCACACAGGCTGTGGTATGCACTCTCTTTCCCAAATAAATAATTTTTAAAATTATCCTTAGCTTTTGTTATAAAAATACAAATCTCCATATCTTTCTCCCCGAGTTATTTTATAGGCATGAAGCCTGGAACTCAAAATTGTGACAAACATTTATTTTGTTCTGTTTTCATTTGGTTTTGGTTTTTTGAGACTGGGTCTTCATCATGTAGCCCAGGTTGGCCTTAAACTTGGATCCTTCTGCCTCTACCTCCTGAGTTCTGGAATTACAGACTATATCTGGCTCTAACAAGCATCTTTAATGATTCTAATGCAAATGATCTATTTAAAAAAAAACTTAGAAATGCAGACACACGCAGGAGGGGCTCACTGGCTAATCTGTAACATGAATCTGGGTAAGCAGGTACCTATTACCCAGACCTAGGTGAGAAGTTTGTTATAGATAGATAACTCCCTTCTAGGTGACAAGTTTACTACAGACAACCCCCGCCCTTATATAGCAAGAATTTTCTCTTGCCATAGAAGAAGAGCTTAAGAGTCATATTTCAAGCCCTCTGCCATAGCCTTCTCTACACCATCCTCTATCACACAGAAGTATACACACACACACACACACACACACACACACACACACAAACCTGCTCATAGGAGATGGGTGCCTGTTTCTGGTGGGACAGCTCCATTAAAGTGCTCAGGTCTGTTCGCAGATCAGTCTTGCAGCCAATAAGCAAAACACGAGTGCTGGGACAATAATCTAGGATTTCTGTTCTCCACTGATGGCCAGAGCAAGAAGAGAGAAGGTAAAAAGAAGCAAAGTCAGGGGCAGGCAAGTAGATACCAGGAGAAGCCCAGTTGGCAACATCAAGCACAACACCGAGATTATCACATCCCAGTCCTCCCTCTGAGTCACAGCATCTCTGCTGCACTAATTACATCATCTTCCTGCCCATGAGGCTATTGGTGACACTGGTGTGCTGACCCAGGAGCCTGTTCCTTCAGTCAACAGCACAAGGCAAGTCTCTTCCCGTTCCCTGCCACACAGAGAAGACAAAGGTCTGCCTTCTTACCCCAGTCAAAGGACCTCACAAACCCAGAATGCCAGGAGAGAAGCCAAGCAATCTCTCCCCAAGGGAAGGACATGATGTGAGTCTTCTAGGAAGCTGGGCTATTTCATAGCATTTCCTGCAGTTTTTCCTGTAGGCAGACCCAGGCATTTCCCACCAGCTGTTCAGCTCTGACCTGCTTGACTCAGTAGGCCTGGAATCACAGTCTACAGAAGCTGTTTCCAAAAGGCCTCATTCCTGATCATCAAAACATCACCAGAAGGTTCCCTGATGCTGAGCCCTTTGCTTCCTGAGTCTGCCGCAGCACCCTCCCTGGCTAGGCCTCTGCCCGGAAGGGAACATAGACTAGAGACAGGACAGAAGGCAGAGGAAGGAAGCCTATGTTCAACCTAGAGCTGTAGCTTATCGTGAGGCCTCGGGCAAAACTCTGCTTTTCCATGGTCTCAGGTTCTTGCTACTAGATAGAGGTTTGGAGGACAAGGCTCTCAAGATTCTTCTCGTTCTGGGTTAGAAACTGTAGTTTATTTTACCTAACCTTTTTTTCCTAGGTGTTGAACCCAAGGCCTTGCTTATGCTAGGCAAGCACTCTACCAACTGAACTAAAACCACAGCTCTATTTTTAATTTTTATTTGGAGACGGTTAAGTTGCCTAGTCTAATCCTGAACTGGTTACAATCCTGAACTTGAACTTGAGATCCTCCTGCTTCAGCCTCCCATCATGCCCAGTTTACCCTTACCTTCTTGAGTGCACTATCCACAGTCTCCGGGCGACTGATATCAAAGCATAGCAAGACTGCGTCTGAGTCACTGTAGCAGAGTGGACGGACATTGTCGTAGTAAGGAGACCCTGGTATAAGGAAAGAAGAGCTGATGGTGAGCCTAAGCCCAGGGATCCCTGGGAATGCAATTCTTGATCCCTTAATATCAAGCTATCTCCCAGGGTACGGTACTACAGCATAGAAACTTGGAACCTGAGCACCTGCCAGAAGGCTATTTGGGAATATCATTTCCCTTGGTCCTAAAAAGGGGAAAGAAGGAAAAAATTTTAAAGAGAGCCCGGTGTGGTGGCACACGCCTTTAATCCCAGCACTCGGGAGGCAGAGGCAGGTGAATCTCTGTGAGTTCAAGGACAGCCTGGTCTACATAGTGAGTTGCAGGACAGCTGGGGCTACAGGGAGACCCTGTCTCAAAAAGACCAAAAAAAAGGGGGGGGGATAGAGTACAATCTGATCTGTCTCGGTTTCCTGCTGTGGGCTTAACTGAAGAGCTACTCATTTTCAGAGTCCCAGAAAAAGCTGCCAGTACTGATGGGGAGGCCAGGGCTTGATAAGGCTCCCTTCTCATAAGCCTGCCTGCTGCCCAACCTCTGCTCCAGCCTCCTGCTCTAGGGTCTCCCAGTGAAGAAATAACCCTGCCTGTTACATAACTAGCTGCCCTGATTCTTTACCTCAGGGTCAGAATTCCAGGAGGCTGGCAGAAGAGGGAGCGCATCGCGGGTTCGGTACTCTATTCCTCTACCCACCCAAGTCAGTTTACACTGAAAGGGCAAAGGAAGATGTGGGCCCCAACCCTCAGCTCCCAAGGAGGCCATCTCAAAGACAGTGACCCGGATAGCTGGGGACTTAGAGGCTAGAGGAGGGATTCTTGGAGCAGGAGAAGGCAGTTCAGACCCAGGGTCTGATGGGGTGAGTACTAGGAGTTCTGCTGCCCCCCACCCCACCCTGAGGAAGGAGCCGTAGCAGATTTGGAACCCAGACAATCCGTGCTCAGAATAGCAAGCAGCCCCTCTCTCTGTATTGCAATCACCATGGAAACTGGGGGGAATCCAAGCTGGGGTGGGATGTCGGTCGTTAAAAAAAAAAGTAAGGGGGAGTTGGGCTAGCTGCCTGCTCCTTCAGCAATCCGTCCCAATCCCTTTCTGAGGTGAGGTGGGGGTTTGGACAGGGGAGCGCTGCGGTACCAGGGAAGGGGGAAGGGAAGAGGTCTCCATTTTGGCTCCAAGCAATCCCCCTCCTCTAAAACCAGCAAGTGAACAAGGCAAACAGGTTCAACCCAAACGTAGGGAGGCTCCATCCCACGCATCACTGCCATTTCCTCCATCCTTATGGGAATCTAATTTGAAAAAGGGATGGTAGCCTTTATGCTCCTGGAAATTAGGAGTTAGGGGCGTGACCTGGGGTAGAGAGACCACACTAGCTGATTTCCATTATCTGGGCTGGAGATTCAAGGGCTGTTTGAGGAGGGGGAAGCAGCAGGGAAGGGGGCTGGGGGGTAAGGGAGATCGCGGGGAAGGGGACTGGGGATGGTGGTAATGAAAAGAGATGAGCTGCAGCAATATTCAGGGACGGTTGGGAGGTGGGAGGGTACAGCAGAGGAAAAACCACACATCACGCAGCCACGCTGCATTCAAGCAGCATAGCACAGTCAAGGGAACCAGATCCCTGCCTCCCAACCCCTGGAACTGCAACGGAGGAAAGCATACGGAGCGTGAAGAATTTTTGTTGTGCGGAGAGCAAGAGTAAGTATTGTTTTTTGTTTACCCATCCCCTAACCCCAATCTTTTTAGACCTCAAAATTAGAGCGCGGGAACAACAGCTTTTTGGAGTAGGATAGTATATTTATTACACACGCAGGAAACCCCTGGTGATTTATGGTCCTCTTTAAACTCAGCCTGAATATGCATTTTTTTTTCAAAGAATGAATTTTATTTTCTTTCTCCTATTGCTGGCTTTTACTCCTTAATTATGTCTGAGCCAGACTGTTAGAGAGAGAGAGAGAGAGAGAGAGAGAGAGAGAGAGAGAGAGAGAGACTAGGATAAAGAGATAGTGGGGAGGGTTCAGAATTAAAGCGGAAGAGAGCTGAGCTCTGAGGGCTTTGGGCCGAGAGCAGGGAAAACACTGCTTTCTACATTTTCAAGACAGAGCATCTTCTCCCTCACCCCAGTACCAGCAGACACAGTAAGAACCAGCCCTAAAAGCACCCTGCCGGACACTAGCGCCAATGTGACCATGCCCTATATTTGCTATCTCCCCTACCCTCCAAAACCTCCCTGAGCCGCAGCGTGTGACGAGCACAGCTGAGTTGCGGCAGGCAGACAGCAGTGTGTGTGTGTAAAGGGGGGAGGCCTGCCTGCTGCACCCCAACAGTACTCATGGGTCCCTTCACCTCACTATGCCAGCCTTCTTCACTCACTGCTTCCCTGACCATCCAAAAGAGTTGATTTCCCCAACCAAAGACTCTAGATTCCTTCTTTTAGTTTCCTGTTAAGTACCCTTCTCCTCAAAGGGGGAAATTTTTTTTCTAAAAAAAAAAACAAAACAAAACAAAAAAAACCACCCAAACACCGGCTGTAGCTGGCCAGTGGAGGTGGGATGGGGCATTTGGGGCCACACTCTTACCTGAGGTATCCCAGAGACTAAGCTCCACTCTCTGCTCCTCTGTCTCCAAACAGGCTGCGTAATTCTCAAACACGGTAGGCACATAGGTCTGTGGAGAGAGGGAGCATTCACACCTAGCACCCGTGCCCTCAGAAACCCACCCAGTGTTGGCAGCACAAGCCACTCACCCACTCTCTGAAACACTAGTGTCAGGTGATACTGCCAGAGGAGGGGATGCATGGGGCAGGAGGGATGGTGTGCGACAGGAAGGGACTGTAGAGGCAGACGCGGGTACTTTGCTTCCCAGCCAGGGAACAAGTCCCCACATCCTGCTGGTCAGAGACAAATACATGCACATTTTCTTCTCCTTAGACCTGTGTCCTAATTTCAGAGCCACAAGCCATTTTTAACCTCCGTCTTCTGCCCTCAAATCCCTTGGCACAGGGTGAACAGCAGAAAGGGACAGCAGAACCTGCCTGGGGCCACCCTCGTAGAACCCTTGAGGAGGGGCTGAAGGGCAGGCAGGTATTGCGTCAAAAGAAAGCCCAAACTCTCCTGTGCCCCCCCCCCGGTCCCTCTGTGGAGGGCCGGCTCCAGGGATGAAGGAAAGTGGGAGGGGACTTGATGGGTAAAGAGGTGAGGAGCGGCAGAAGTGGGACAGGTCTCAGGGGAAACGAGGCAGGGCAGTCCTCCAGGGAGAAGGCTGCTGGGGCGACCTGGGGGTGGAGGAGCCGGCTCTCCTGGGCAGGTGGGACCCGACCCGGGCACGGCGCCTGGCAGCTTACCTCGGGATAGCAGTCCTTCGCTAGCACCTGTAACATCGCCGTCTTCCCACACTGCACATCCCCCACCAGGACGAGCTTACATCTGACCACCACTGGCTGGGGCGCCCGTCTCTCCTTCATGGCTGCAGCCTCCGCAGGACTTGGACACAGATTCCGGGGAAGTAGGTCGTGCCAGGAGTCTAGCACGCGGGTCAGAGTCGGGCTCCTCGCCTCCTTCCAACTGAGGCGGAGGCCGGCCCGGCCTCGATATATCTCCCAGGCTGAGCCAATCACTAGAGGAGGAGGCCTCTGCCGAGGCCAATCCCCAAGGTGGGATCCCCTCCAGCAGCCAATAGCAGGAGGCTCTGAGTCAGCGCCCTCTTCCGCCCTTCCCTTACCGTTAAAGCGGCACCGTCGCTTCCTCCTGGAAGGGGAATCCCACGCTGTTTTGTGTTTGTGTTAGAAAGTGGGGAGACGACTTGAAGCAAAGCTAAGAGATCTGGAATGTCCATGTGTTGGTATCAAAGCCCATAAACATGGAACCAGAAAGTGAGGTCCAGCTGGAGTTGTAGGGCCTGTCTCAGGAGGACAGCAAGACCTGCCTAACTGTGGACAGGTGACACCTGTGGGGAGGAAGTGGCCCTAGAGAACTCTGACTTTTTTTTTTTTTTTTGTCTTTTTTTTTTTGAGACAGGGTCTCCCTGTAGCCCCAGCTGTCCTGGAACTCACTATGTAGACCAGGCTGGCCTTGAACTCACAGAGATCCGCCTGTCTCTGCCTCTCCAGTGCTGGGATTAAAGGCATGCGCCACCCCACCCGGCATACAGAACTCTGACTCTTTAATTCTGTATAGTTCCTATCCAACCAGTCCACTCTGGCACCTCTTAATATCAGCTCCTGAGGTCCCTCCTTTTAAAGCCCAAGTCCCTTTGTCTAGAATCACCTTCACTAACACAAATCAGCAAAACAAAACACAGCTTCTTACCCACAGACCCACTGAGAAAAAGAATGAGGAAGTCCAGCAAGTGGGACTAGGACACTGGATGATATCAAAGTTGCTCTTTACTTCCTGTTAGCCAGGGAGCTTCTGGCTCCAGCCTACCAGGAGCTTGGAAAGGTGTTTTGTTCCATGGCCTGTGTTCAGTTTCCCGGATGAATCAGGTGCACGTCTAGCACCAACGTACTAATGTGTGTCACCTCTTGAAAATCCAGCCTGGAAGACTGGGCCTGGACCTATGGGATTAGAAACTGGAGGCCAATCTAAGATGGGCCAAACTACAAAGCTGTGTCCTGGCCCTGGCCCTTAGCACTGCTGCATGCTCCAGGACCCCGCTACTCAGCAGAACTATGGTTGGGTACAGCTCACACAAGTTCCTGACTCTCTGGCAACCAAAGCAGCCCAATAAGGCCTCCAGGAAGCTAGGGACCAATTTGGGGCAAACTTGGCAACCCAGGATCTTTTCCTTTTCTCTCCTCTCCTCCCCTCCCCTATCCTTCCTCTTCCTCCTCTTCTTCCTCCTCTTCCTCCTCTTCTCTCTCTCTCTCTCTCTCTCTCTCTCTCTCTTATTTTGTTGGTTTGGTTTATTTGTGAGACAGGGTCTCACATTAGAATTCACTGTGTTGGCTAATCTCAAGCTAGACACAATCCTCCTGCCTCAGCCTTCCAAGTCTGGGATTATAGGCAGCAGCTACTACCCCTGGCTCAGGGCTGTCTCTAGGATCCTTCATCTTGAGAAGCCCAGCATTTCTGCAGTATGCCTTGGGTCTTACTCTCTGAGAGCTTTACTCTTAAGTCACAGTGATTGCTGCCCCACCCAAGGACATTTCCCTGTGATTTGGGGTACTTAAAAGCCTTTCCCAGACTCAATGGGAACGACCTCTAAGTGTAAGATTCCCTAGACTCAGCTCGCAGTAGACAGAAAGTGGAAGTTATTTTGAGAATGTAACCTAACCAATGTCTCTCTAGTCTACCCTGTGGTTTCTAAGTCCGGGCTACTTGGTGGTGGGCTCTGGGGCCTTGGGATGTACTGCCTTTTGCTCATCTCATACCCACCACTTCAAGGGATAGAGTCACCTGAGGGAAACTCCAGGGCAGAAGAGGTTACCCAGAGTTTACTTTTAGCTGGGTACCCTCTTCTCCCAGGCTGTCCAGAAGTTTCTTCACCTTATCTTTCCCCATGCCTCATCCTCAGCCTCCTGTTTATAGAATTTGTCCTCTCTTTTCCCCTTTTCAGCCTCCTGATAGCTTCTCTGAGCTTCCCATAGTGTGTTTTGGGAGAGTTCCAGAACAGCTGTAAGACTGTTTCAACCTGGAGTCCTTTCAGCTTGACCTTCTTCCATATCTGCTGTTCCCGACCTTCTGTCTCATTTGGATACAGTTCTATAGAAGTATCTAGAGTCTCCATATATCTTCTTAACCCTTAACCATGTTAGCCTTCTCAACCATGTTCTTTACCAGCCTACACAGGCACACGCACACACACACACACACACACACACACACACACCCTTCACTAGCCACTCCAAATAAGCATTCAGTACAAGTAAAGTAAAACCGTTCTTACTGCGGGGCGTGGTGGTGCACACCTTTAATCCCAGCACTCAGGAGGCAGAGGCAGGCAGATCTCAGAGTTCAAGGCCAGCCTGGTCTACATAGTGAGTTCCAGGACAGCTGGGGCTACAGGGAGACCCTGTCTCAAAAAGACCAAAAATAAATAAATAAATAAATAAACAAACAAACAAACTGTTCTTACTAAGCAGTAAGAAACTTTTAACGCTTTTAACAAGATTGCCATTCCTAAACTCCTCTGGGGTAGAAATTCTGGGAGCTGGTGCCAACATTGATTCTTCCTGGATGGCTGCATTTCCGGTCAGCAGCAGGTCTGTGATAGAGCCTCCACCATGACTGAATCTCAAGATGTGACTCCAAAGATATCTTGTGGGTCACATGCTTATGAGTTGTGGTGGAGAAGGGAAGGTGTTGCATGTGTTGAGTGTGTGTGTTAGGTCAGGAGGGAGAGTACCACAACACAGAAGAGGAGAGTCCAGGTTCAGCAGGTCTGGGTGTTAGAGGCAGCTCTGCTTTGAAGCTGTGTTTTGGAATTTAACTAGAAAAGGGGTTTTTAGCCCTTTGTTTTTGGTTTTGTTGTAAATTTTTCATCGAATTTTTGTGTATTTCATACACAACACCTTAATCATTTTTATACCACCTTCCCCATTGGACCCCTCCCATAGCCACCCCCCCCAGAAGTCATGCATTTTGTCATTTGTGTTAAGGCTTATCATGTCAAGTTAGTGTCCCCAGACTTCCCTCAGTGCAAATTCATCCACTGAGGTCCAGTCAGCCTATCTTGAGTCCCTCCCTTTAAGATCAACTCTGTCTCACCCAGTGGTAATCAGCTGCTAATAATTCTTCAACTAAGATTGAGTCCTGCTGCCCATTTCCACAGTTCTGTGCTGAGGTTTTGTTTGCTTGAGTTTGCATAGTTCTTGTATATGATGGCACCATTGCTATAGGGTCATATGAACAAGGTCCCAGGAGCCTGTAGGACTGTAGGACTCTATTTCTAAATTAGACTTTTTTTTTTTCGTCTTTTTGAAGCAGGGTCTCCCTGTAGCCCCAGCTGGCCTGGAACTCACTATGTAGACCAGGCTGGCCTTGAACTCACAGGGATCCGCCTGCCTCTGCCTCCCGAGTGCTGGGACAACAGACGTGCGCCACCACGCCGGCTTTAGACTTTTGTTTTCATAGTTAGGTCTCCTTCCCCAACTTTCATTTTTGTTTTTGTTTTGTTTTGTTGAGCCAGGGTCTCAATGTAGTCCAAGTTGGCCTCAAATTCCCAGCAATCTTCCTGCCTCAGACTCCTAAGTGTCACTTAGATTACAGGTGTGCGCCACCATCTAGTGGAGCTCCACGGTCCAGCTCCTAGCTCTAAAAAAATTCCATATTATTTATTGAATGTGCACATGTGTGTATGTGTGTGTGCATGCTCATGCCCTGGTGCATGTGTGAAGGTCAGAGAAAAACGTGCAGGAGTCAGTTCTTTCCTTCCACCCTGTGGGTCTCTGGGATTGAACTCAGGTCATTAGGTTTGATGGAAAATATGTTTACCCACTGATCCATCTCACCAGCCCATCAGTTCCCATTTTTGTTTAAACCTCTTCAAAGTGTCTTTATTTAAGGCTCTGTAACCAGAACAATACATTTATAAGATAGCTATTCTCTGTTAAGACCAAGAACATTTTTTAAATATTTTTTATTTATTATCTTTATTTTATGTGTATGAGTGTATTGTCTGCATGTATGTGAGGGCACCCGTGTTGTGCAATGCTGCGGAGGTCAGAAGAGGGCTCCAGATTCGCCTGAAATCTGGAGTTAAGGACAGTTCATAGCCGCCATGTGGGTGGTGGAAATCGAACCTGGGTCCTCTGCAAGAGCAGTCAGTGCTCTTAACCGCTGAGCCATCTCTCCAGTCCCAAGACTAAGAACATTTAAAACAATGCTGTACTTGAAAGCATTATGCCAAGGTGAAAGAAGCCAGTTAGTTACAAAACACAACATATCATACATTCCATTTACATGAAACAACTTCAGAATAGACAAATCCAATGACATGGAAAATAGATTTGGGACCAGCAAGATAGCTCAGCGGGTAAAAGAACTTGCTGCCAAGCCTGATGAACTGATTTGATCCCCAAGACCCACATGGTGAAAGCAAAGAACTGACTTCTGCAAACTGCCCTCTGACTTCCACGTTTGCCATGGCATGTGTGTGTGCACACAAACTAAATAAAATTTAATAAAAATGTTAAAGAAATAAAAGCCAAGCATGGTAGGGCACACCTTTAAATCCAGCACTTGGGAAGCAGAGGCAGGCAGATCTCTGTGAGTTCAAGGCCATCCTGGTCTCCATTAGCAAATCCAGGCCAGTTGTGACTACAGGGAGACCCTGTCTCAAAAAGACCAATAATAATAATAATAATAATAATAACAATAACAATAATAACAACAACAACAAGAGCTGGAGGATGTAGCTTAGTTGGTAGAGTGCTTGCCTAGGCTCCACAGGGTCCTAGGTTCAGTTCCCAGCACTGCATAAACAGGGCATAAACTGGGTATGATGGTGCAAGTCTGTCATCCCAGCATTCAAGAAGACAAGGAATTATACTCAGGAGGCAGAGGCAGGGAGATCTCTCTGAGTTTAAGGCCAGCCTGGTCTACATAGTGACCTTCAGTTCAGTCAGGGCTACACA